GGAAATCCGTCCCTGCAGTCAGTATGGGCGAATTCTGTTACAAAGTGAGCATCTATATTGAATTCACCCCATACCCCTATTCAGTTCTGTTGTCATCCCCTTCCCTTCATTAGTTCACTCATTTATTTCATCTTCAGTTAGCCTATAATGTCGTAATTACGAGTTGCAAACACACGAATGACCAAGTCGTTTTAAAAGTGGAAACCCCAGAATTCTGGATGATTTGCTGGGTTTGGATGTTGCAAGGGGCGTGTCGAATTAAATTCTATATAAATGGTAATGAATTATTTTGCAAGTTATTTTAATTTTACATGCTGCATTTCAGTCATTGTAAAGATGTGAAGACGGGAACAGCTTATAGATCAATTAAATCACTTAACCTTAAAATATTCTTACCTAAGTGAAAGAAATTAATAATTTTTAATATAGAAGTACTTATTCTAAAAGTTTATTGCTCATAATTATTTTGTGTTGTTTAGCCTACTTACGTTTTATGTTTCATACTGAAGTACGGGGGACATAAATGTCCGACACAGGATCTGTCCCAGCTGGAACCCTAAATGTCCAAAGTATACTTAAAGTCCCCCTGTAGTCAAATATTTTATCCCTTAAACGTATCAGCATCATCAAAATATTTAGATCATGGAAATTAAGTATCAAAATATTCGATACCTTAAAAACTTGAATAAATAGTAAATAAACATTTTCTAACAAAAAGAACAAGTAGAAAAAAAGAAAAATGCACAAAGAACTTGAATGGAGATTTTTCAATCTACAGAATTTTTCCCGGACCTTCTTTTCTCTGTAAATGAAGGGTGCTCACTATTCCTGAAAAACACAATCACTACTTAGCAGTCAGATGTCCGTATGCACAAAGGCACAGATCCCTAAACAAGGCCATATTTGCAGATGAAACTTTGTTTGTAGAAGCATTTTTAAATTTTGAACTAGCACTAACTACACCACGTTATGTACGAGAAGCTGCAAAAGACACAGGCGCAAGTGGAATGTAAAAAACATGGTGACATTAATTTGTATGTAAATATAATGGGCGATATATTGCAACACCAAAAATTATTGAGGTCACGTACGTATATTGTGCGATAAGTCGATATATTGATTATTGCGACAGGCCTAGATACCGCATGTGTCTTTTGATGTATACTGTAATCTGCTTTGGAACATTTAAGCTAGCAGATTTCACACTGTCCACACCTTGTATACTGCAGACATGAACAGCTTCAGTTGTTTTTGAATGTGTTTGTCATGGCTTCTGTGATGTCTTTCAGAGCTGGTGGATAAATGCATTGGTTCACGGATTCACATCGTCATGAAGAACGATAAAGAGATTGTGGGAACTCTGCTCGGATTTGATGACTTTGTCAGTATCCTTTTATGTGCTGGAGAAAAAACTGGCACATATTTGTGATGGTTAATGCTTTAGGATTAGATTGTTTTATTTTACAAAATACAAGTACAGAGCCGATGACACTGTTACACATTCACTCCTCTGGACATAGTAACACTTTACAATCATTTATTTGTCCTATGAATATAAGAGACTCTTTGTTATAATACCATTATAGTTAGTTTTATTTCACATGATGTAAAGAAAGAGACTGTGCATTAAATTTAAAGGTGACATATCATGAAAATCTGACTTTTCCAGGTTTTAAGTGCTATAATCAGGTCCCCAGTGCATCTACCAACAAAGGAAACGTGAAAAAGATTAACCCAGTAACTTTGTTTTGGTAAGCCTTTTTCTGCAAGCGTCTGAGAAAACTAGTGCGTCTGATTTCGCTCCCCTAGTGACGTTGCAAAGGGTTCTCATTATAATATTACCGCCCCTTAATCTGTAAATTTCCACCCACGGCGCCGTCATTTTGATCTCGCAAGCAACAACGGTGTACCAGCTCTAATCCCATGGCGAAAGTTTGAGCAAAACATGCTAACTGTTCTGCCTTTGGTTGCATAGATGAGCACAGAACACTATTTAGAGTCCCAGCCTCAGAGGAGGCAAGAGAGCAGTGGATTTATTGATTTATTTACTGTATATTGCTGCTGCCACACAGATCTAAAATAAACATGCGATTTATTTCCCAGCTGTTTACCTTCACAGACATAACCGACTGTTTTTGTAACTCGTGTGTTTTTAACATAAACTTGTGTGTGAATGAGAACTTAGTTTAGTACTCACATGCTGTGACAGCCGCTTTCTGTCCGTGTGCGCTCAGAAAACCATATATCAGAAGTTTAAACTCATATGCTTTAAAACACATGATTTCAGCGCGATAAACATGATAATCAGAACCACAACAGATGTTTTTAGCAGGTACCAGTTGTAATGGAGCAGCTCTATTCTGGAAAAGGACTTTGTTTTGGTAAGCCTTTTTCTGCAAGCGTCTGAGAAAACTAGTGCGTCTGATTTCGCTCCCCTAGTGACGTTGCAAAGGGTAGAACTTAGTTTAGTACTCACATGCTGTGACAGCCGCTTTCTGTCCGTGTGCGCTCAGAAAACCATATATCAGAAGTTTAAACTCATATGCTTTAAAACACATGATTTCAGCGCGATAAACATGATAATCAGAACCACAACAGATGTTTTTAGCAGGTACCAGTTGTAATGGAGCAGCTCTATTCTGGAAAAGGGGGCGGGGAGCAGCAGCTCATTTGCATTTAAAGAGACAGGCCCGAAAAACAGCGTGTTTCTGCTTCCACTCAAAATAGGCATTTTCAAAATGATATAATAAATTATCTCTGGAGTATTTTGAGCTGAAACTTCACAGACACATTCTGGGGATGCCAGAGACTTATATTACATATTGTAAAAAGGGGCATCATATGTCTCCTTTAAAAAGTGTGGCAGGACTCCACATACATTTTCTTGACTGTTTTAATCAGACATGGTTCTTGAGGATGTGACAGAGTTGTAAGCATATGTTTCTACCTAAAAATGTGCTTATATATTTCTTTATTATCTTTACCTGATGTATGAATCCATCTGCTTTGACTTTAACTGCTCCTCAAACTTATTACTAAATATATATGGGATATGTGAATATGTATTGATACTCTTGTATTGATAGGCTTTACATTTTTTAGTTTTTTTTTACTGGGATCCAGACACCATTGTGTTCTTGCTATTAACAAGGTTCATGCAGAATTTGGAATGTGTCTAATTTTTTTATTTCCCTAAAACATCGTGTTATAAAAGTAGAAAATAATTGAACATTTGAAATAAAAAGCAAATGCAGCTTAATGTGTCCCGTGAAATGGCATCCATGTGTTCTGTCAAGATGCCAGGTGTTCATTTCGATTGCGTAAGTATTGCAAAAACAATGAATAAAGCAGCCTTTCCATTTGATGTGTTCAAAAAAGCAAAAACACCACTTCTGGGGAAACCAGCACACAGTTTTTTTTTAAAAGGGGTGGTTATTCCAGGTCAAATTGAGCAACCCCATGGGGACTTCATTATTATAGTTTAGGATGTCATGAATTGATAATATATTATATAATAATGTTTCGAAAATTCACTTATACATTTTTTAATTGTACACTCATGTATTCAAGGTGTAAGGAAAATGTTTTATAACTTTTTACGTGGCTCCACCACGTTTTCTCAAATCGGAAATCTGAATATGTTAAAATGATATGTTTGAAAAAACATTTTACAAAAAATATATGATATCAATATGAATGTGAGATTACATTTCAGAAACTTGATGTTTCTTAATCTCAGATATCACTGAGCCATAACAACTATGTGTTATTTTTGTGTCACAGTGAAATCACTCCAGAAGGAAGAAGAATCACAAAGCTGGATCAGATTCTACTCAATGGCAATAACATCACAATGGTATGATCAATTATTGAGTTCATCTTTAAATCACTTAACAATCAACTATATATCACGCTTAATGAATTGACAACATTTGCTTTTAGATTAGTTTAGTGTATGAATATGAGTAAAGGTCTTGTAAGTTTGTTTTTGTAGCCAGTGTTTAATGAAAGCCACGATGCACTACATCTACCAACAAACTGGGTCATATAGAAAGCTGTATCTCAACATTTTCGTTCAGTATGTTACTAAAACTTTTTTAAAAAAACACAAGTTTTCTAAATCTGTCATTTTTGCTGATGTTCTTTAATACAGGGACTCTTACAGGAAGCCCACAGATCTAAAACACGCCTTAACATCCCAGCCGATCCCCGACTATATTAAAAAATTACCAAAACACCAAACTGTAATTGCATTAATAGATGAATGCTACTTAAAATGACACATTACTTTGTCAAATGTATTGAAATCATGTATTTCTGCTGTTTTCCAGTTAATTCCAGGAGGAGAAGGACCAGAAGTTTGAGAAATATGTAGCACCTTCCACAAAATAAACATACAATTTATGTTCCTGTTTCATGAAAGAAACCTGAAAAATTATCACTTGTTGTTTTCAAACATTCCTTTTCATTTTATGAGGGGAGTTTTTCCACATTAGTTCTTTCTATTCTTTAAGTGATCCAAAAAGTTTTTGTAAACATTTGCCGCTTGTTACAATAAAACGGATCAAATGAATTGGACTGAGTTGGAATTCAGTTGTATGTTAATAGCATTTGGTGTGATAGATTCCTGAAGTGTGAATGAAGAAAATGAGGATAATTTGTGGAATCGTCATTTTTGGTTTTAATGTGGTTCTTTGCTTTAAGAATGTCACATTTGTGAATTTGTGCATTTTCCTGATTTATTTTGTATATGCTGAAATAAATGTACATGTAGATTTACATGAACTCATCATTTGTACCACAACACACTGTATGTTTATGACTGATTTAACAAGTTTACTAACAAACCACTTTAAAGATGTATCTGTAGGTCAGGGCTGTCCAAACTCGGTCCTGGAGGGCCGGTGTCCTGCAGAGTTTAGCTCCAACCCTAATTAAACGCACCTGAACCAGCTAATCAAGCTCTTACTAAGCATAGAAACTTCCAGTCAGGTGTGTTGAGGCAAGTTGGAGCTAAACTCGGCAGGATACCGGCCCTCCAGGACCGAGTTTGGACAGCCCTGCTGTAGAGTGTCAAAAATCATGTGAAGAAATGAGAAATTCGGAAAACTGGTCTAGTTGTAGAACTGCGCTGGTCCCAGTAAGCATCGGTCTCAGTACATGGAGGGCTTCTCTTCTCCTTTAGGATTCGTCACTTTCTCCAGGTTCTTGCTGATGACATCATAGAGTTCAGCCTGAGAAACAACAGACATCTGAATCTTCAGCCATACAGTTGTGTCCACAATTATCATGATTCATTCGTAAAGGCAATATCCCCAGGATGAATCGCTTGTGTGGTAGCATTTCTTATTTAGAAGCTGTTTGCTGAATGAATAAATGTAAGAAACTCACATAGAAACCGCGTATATCAAGCATAATCACTCTAATCTCGGAATAGGCTGCTTCATCCTTCTCGTGCACCAGAGAGCGATAATCCATCTGCCAAAAGAATATATGTTTATTGTTACACAAAAAGGGTATGAAAGTGATTATAAAACGGATAGTTCCGGTCCTTGATTCTGATTGGTTGAGCTGCGTTCGAAGCTGTTGTAAATTACTCTACAAACATACACTTTTTTTTTTTTACGTCTGTGTGTTGCTCGGCAACCACTTTGTTGCAACCACAACCGTTTCGGAGGAAATGCATTGTTTGGCGGAAGAATTATGTTATTTTTAATTTCATTACATTTTATTTGCTTTGTGTAACCTTGCTACATATATGAAATAACTGTTTTATAAAAGCAATAAGCCCCATGAAGCCGTGGTTTACAGTGAATTTATAACAGCTAAGGGGGATTGTTAGGCACGACGCAAAGGTGGCTTATTGCTTTAATTGAAACTATACTGTAAATCTTTTTGAAGTGATGGGGTCAATTTGTAAATCTGGTGATTTACCTCCAAACAGTTACATATGCAAATTATGTAATAACTGTCTAGTATTTTTAGAGAAACCTGCAGATAAAATGAAATTAATAATATAAAATGAATCATATGGATTTAATTGCTTTGTACTTGCCTGTTCGTATTCTTAAAAAGTTGGGTGATGTTTATTATGCCTGAACATCACATTTTCTTGCAAAATTGTAATTATTTCTGAAATACTCAATTTCATTGTTGAGGGCTACAGAATGCTCAGAGTTGTACAACTTTTGTGTTTGCACAGAGTACTCGAATGACCTCTTAACTCATGAATCAAAGGGTTGAATGGCAAAAACCGAGAACATGGTATTGAAAAACCTATTTAATAACTGTGGCTATACAAAAAAGTAATGAAACTAATACTTTGATTTGACAGGTCACACTCACCACGTGTGTGTCTTTGGAAGCTTTTGCCACTGCATCACCTCTCTCTGAGAAGTACCTGCAGATAAACACACCTTCATTACCAACATGACAAAATGAATAAATGTGGGGAGTGTAAAATATACTGCAATTTTACAATCTTCAGTAAGCATAATCAATGTACTGAAATAGTTGGTCATACTTGTTAATGTTGGTCTGAAAACCCTCCACCTTGGTCTTCACAGCAGTAATTCTCTCAAGGATTTTTTCCTAAAATATCAATATCAGTCATGTTAACTGCTGCTTATCTTTGCGATTCAGAACATTATGTGGTATAAAGCATGCATTTAGAAACAGTCTGAGCCTTTTAAGGTTTAATAACCTGAATTGCAACTCCAAAATCATTTCCATCCTCTATTTTTGGAATTAGATGAGAAATCCAGCAAGAAACCTGAAAAAAATAAAAGAATAAAGCTGCCACTACTGTATATCTGGGAAAATGCTAAAAACTTATGAGTTAATTTTGCTCACTTACAGTGATGCAGGTCTCCTTCAGAGCCATTATCTCTGGTTTTACAATATCCAGCAACTTCACAATCCTCTCATTTCCTTTGATGAAACCACACTTGGGAGCTGACACAAGAAAAATGTAACATTACAAAAATATGCCATATTTCCATATCACAACAGTGTATCACAGTTATGGTTTGGTGCAACTTTAAAGCACTTTTATCCACATTTCTTCTATATATCACTCTAGTAAACATTCACCTTAATTTAATCTGTTCATAACAATTTTGCCTGAAGAACATTCAGCTCCTGTTTTAATTTCATAATTATTTTAGTTACATTTTAAATTTACAGAAACTAGGAGTACCCATAGATTAAAACATGTTTTGAAAACAAAACTAGGGATAAAGGCCCTTCAGATATTGTTGTGGACAATGGGGGACCTTGGAGTCAAAAAAGCTGAGAACCACTATTCTATATTAGCTATAGATCAGTGTTTACGCAATGTTTCAGATAAACGTGCCTTTCTGAAAATCAGTTATTTGTGTATCATCTTTCCAAATTTCCCATTCATAAATACAATTTCACGCAGTCATTCATGTACTCATGATTGCATGAGGAAATCCCCATGAGGAAAATAGCTTATACTGTAAATCATACAGAATTAAGTTTTTGAAAATCTAAAAATATTTTGTGTGAAGGGTAGGGTAAGGGGATAGAAAATATAGTTTTTACAGTATGAAAATCATTATGTCTATGGAATGTCCCCATAAAACATGGAAACCCAAAGAGTGTGTGTGCATGCGTGTGTGTGTGTGCATGCGCGTGTGTGTGTGTGCGTGTGTGAAATTACCTTTCTTCTTTTTCTCATCATCTTCATTTTTATCTGTCTCCATCTCCTGTTAAAATATTTAAATAAACGTTTTAAATGTTTTTATTTAATAAAAAAACATTTATTCAATTTTTTCCCCCCAGATTAATTTCAAAAAGCATAATTTTGAATCACAAAGTGGATGTCAACCTCATCTTCTGGAGCAGGGGGGTCAGGAATGGGAATGTCCAGGGGTGCATGGAGAGATGAGAGGTCAGTGATACTGAAGCCATCCCCCTAAAACCATAAAAGAAAAGTATTTAAATTCAGTTGTCACTGAAGTCGAGGTATTGCTCAAATGTGACCCTGGACCACAAAACCAGTCATAAGTAGCACAGCTTTATTTGTAGCAATAGCCAAAAATACAGGTCAAAATTATCGTTTTTTATTTTATGCCAAAAATCATTAGGATATTAAGTAAAGATCATGTTTCATTATGATATTTTGTAAATTTCCTTCCGTAAATGTATCAAAACGTAATTTTTGATTAGTAATATGCATTGCTAAAAATGTCATTTGGACAACTTTAAAGGTGATTTTCCCAGTATTTAGATTTTTTTGCACCCTCAGATTCCAGATATTCAAACAGTTGTAACTCGACCAAATATTGTCCTATCCCAACAAACCATACATCAATGAAAAGCGTATTTATTCAGCTTTCATGTAATGTATAAATCTCAATTTCAAAGAAATTACCCTTATGACTGGTTTTATGGTCTTGGGTCACAAATGGTAACCTGTGCAGCAGAAACAAGGCCACAAGTTCGTTTCCCAAGGACACACATGCATGAATACCCAAATGTATTGGTCACTTTGGATATGCCAAATGAACAAAGGTACCTTCAGCAGGTTGTCGAGCTGTGAGATCTTCAGAGGTATGTGATTGGAGAACAGCTCTTCTGCCTGTCAATGCAATGAATATTGTCAACACAAACAACCAATGCATTGCAAAATCTCACATTTTGCCTGTGTGTGTATTATTTCAATTGAATTCATACCTGCTTATACAGTGACTGGCGGTAGTTTTCTATCTGGATGAAGGTAATACAAATATACAATTACAATTCAAACACCATTTTTGTCCATGAACATGATCGCGCCTTCCATGCTTTCACGTTACTTTCACTTTCAACATTCGTCGATGAGGAAGTGTGACTCAGGATTTTTTTTTTTTACCATAAGCAGAGATCGCCAGCAGTGTTTTATGTTCAATAACTACCAAACAAACGACACAAGCCCTTTAAAACTTCATTGAGGAGCCATATTGTAAACAGTCGTAAACGCGTTTACATTTACTGCACTCTGTTGAGAGAGGAAATAGTATAAATTCTACAGAGATGAGCTTACCCTGACTGCATTTTCAGAGTTTATCTTCAGTACATTAGTTTTGGACATAATGAATGTAAATGTTCGTTATTTTCAGACAAAGAAATCGCGGTACTGTGAGCAGCAGACGTTCAGGTGCCTCGCGCACTAGCTTTCACTTAGCGATACTTTCGATTTCTTGATGACGCCCACTATCCCCGAAAAGATCCATCTTCTTCTTCTTCTTCTTCTTCTTCTAATGTTTATTGGCGGTTGGCAGACTAGCTTATTAGTGCATTTCCGCCACCATCTGAACTGGAGTGTGGAGCATCGATGCATGTATATGTATCATATGTATGTATATCATACTAAATAATAATAATAATAGTCATAAATAAATAAATAAACATCATTATATTCTTATATAATTTCCTGTATCTTTAAAATATTTTAACAAAGCAAATCTAATATTCTTACTCCTTTTTAACTTAATATATCTTCTAAAATCATGCTTCCACCTTCTTTAATTACTTTAGTTTCTAGCATTTGTCGTTCGTTGTTATATGCAACAGTACATGCTCTACAGTTTCAAAAATCCCACAATGCATGCAATAATCCATTCGGATGTTTCTTGATTCTATTTAAATTTCCATTCAGTGCAGTATGTCCTATTTGAATTCTTATTATTACTGATTCTTCTCGTCTTCTTAATCCCATGCCATTGTTACGTATTCCTACTTCCCTTTGAACTCTATATAGATGTCGTCCAGTCTTCTCTTTCTCCCAAAGTTTCTGCCATGCATTAATAAGAGCTTTCCTAATTTTTATTTGTGCTTCTGCCTTACTAATTTTTTATGTCAATTCCTATCTGATTCAAGTTCAAAGAATTCTTAGCATGCTTATCTGCCTTCTCATTTTGGAACCCAAATAAATGAAAAAAAAGCCCTGATTTTTCATTCTATATACAGTATATACTGCAGTATTTCAAGTATGACATCTTGTCTGCAGTTAGACTGGCCTGATTGAATGCTCTTTGACGCAGCCAAAGAATCTGAACATATTACTGCTTTTTTCATTCTATTTTCCTCTACCCACTGGAGAGCCATAACTACCAACTCTGCTGTAAATACAGATAAAAAATCCGGGGTTCTTTTCTTAATAGCTTTTTCATATTGCGGAATAAATACTGCTATTCCTGTTTTCATATAGTTTCTGGATCTTTTGAACCATCTGTAAATATCTGTATCATATCATAATATTTCATATATATTTATACATATATTTCTGACCTATATATTTATTAACTCTTATTTTTATTGGGTCACAATCCTGTTTCTTCACTTCATCTGTTAAATAAAGATCTACTATAGGCTTTACAAACATCCACAGTGGAACTGCTGACATGTGTACTATATTACTGAATTGTTTTATTTTTTACATCTATCAATTCCGCTATTTCTTCCATTTCCTGTCCAATATTCTTAATATTACTTTTTCTATATTCCCAACTTTTAAAAAAATATTGCCGAAAAGATCCAGTGATTGCTTTATGTTTTTAGATCCTTGCACATACTCATTAATTCGCCGCGTCAGTCACATTTCTCATTCACACAACCAATTTTCTCTTTCTTCTGTTATTATATGAACAGCTTTTCTTTTCTGAAATGCAAAAATATGATCATTTCATGTGGCAAAAATGACCACCTGTTCTCCTCCTAAGTAACAATAGAGGGCGCAGTCAGGCATATCAGCACTGGAGGGAATTAAAGGAAATAGCTCTCCGACTTCGCCCCAAAATGAACATTTGCTCAAAATTGGAATTTCTTTCACGAAAAAGATTTGGAGAACTTTAGCATTTCTTCGCTTGTGCATCAATTGACTCTCTGCAGTGAATGAGGGGTTTAGGAAATAAGGGGTTTAGGGTTGGGGTCAGTGTACATGCTGATAAAGCCTCAAACCTTATTAATATCATGCTGGAAGCAAAATGTGATAGGTAGCACTTTTCACAATCGAATTATGCTACCATTTGTTTTAATGGGAGGTAGCAAAATCTGACAGGGTAGCACAAATCATCAGAACACCGTCAAGAGTTCAATAAAAACATCGCAAAATCCACAAGCAATCGACATGACTCTAGTTCAGGGGTGACCAAACTCGGTTCTGGACACCGGCCCTCCAGGACCGAGTTTGGGCACCCCTGCTCTAGTTGATCAGTCTTGTGGAGTGAAAAGCTGTTTTTGTAATAATACAGATCGTCTCAGGTTACTTATGTAACCATGGTTCCCTGAGTAGGGAACGAGACACTGCGTCCTCTAGGGGTCGCTATAGGGAATGCCTCGTCGTGACCCGTGTCTGAAGCATACATTGAAAAAACACCAACTCGTTGGCCGGCGACAGCCATGACGTCACTACCGGTGCGTCTATAGTATAAATAGGCGCCGGGAGCACACATCATTCACTTCTTCATCTGAAGCTTGCGTCCGCAGCATGGCAAGAAACCTAGAGAACGCAGTGTCTCATTCCCTACTCAGGGAACCATGGTTACATAAGTAACCTGAGACGTTCCCTTTCATGGGAACTTCGAACTGCGTCCTCTAGGGGTCGCTATGGGGAACGGTATACCCA